TAACTAAGCATCAGAGAATCATGTTACAAAAAAGGTCCAGGTACATATACATACTTTCATACACTCCACTATACAATTGCTACCATCACTATCTCTAGCAGGCGCTGGTTTTGAAAGTAAGTAGCACATGGAGTCCTCATTGCTAGACAAATTTTCAAAATTACATACAGATTAAATAACCATATAAACTGATTTCAAATTTTTTTAAAGGATAAGCTGCAATCTTTAGACTACAGTCCTATTCAGCTCTGGGTTAGCTAATAAAATAACTTTGATCCTTCTTCTGTTTAATTTATGGTTTTCAACATGAATTTACAGGGAACAAAACTTGTCCAAGCATCAATGTTCAAGGCTACACTTCCTTTTGCTGATAATGGCTCTGCTCTGGAAGTTTTATTTGATTTGCTTTCTGATGACTTCACTGTATTCTTTCATTCTAATTATACCCATCCCAGTGAAACTTTGTTTTATTTTCATTTTCTTTCAACACCTACCTTGACTAAAACAGCTGCTAAAATGGTGCTAAAATAAGCAGGAAGAAAGAGTTGGAGGAATTACAATTTGATAATAATAAGAGTATTTTAGGGACTCATTATAATTAAGCCATTGCAGGAAAAACATCATCTTTCTGGGAACAGGGCTTCATCCCTATCAAGTGCATCAAAGGAACCTTTAGGATTCACAAATACTTAGAAGCACTGAGGTTCTGCTTTATAGCCATAATATGCCAAAGATGCAAAAAATATTCTAGGTACTCTTGAAAACTACGATAAGGAAGAAATACAAGAGTCCTGCCTCTTAAGATCTGACTAGCCTGCAAAAACATAGATTAAAATGTCATATCAGAGTAAGAAATCCTATTAAGGGTGTTTATCCACCCAAAATCCACGCCTTGAAAAAAGAGCATACTTCTAGGCTAGTTTCAGGGGGACTGTTTACACAAAACAGAATTGTTGGTATCTATAATCCATGTTGTGTAGGCAACACTTGCTTCCAGTAGTGATATAACTTTATCTATTGATAGGACAAAGATACAAGGAGAATATTACATAATGAAATATGCATTTGCATATTATCTGTAGTCCTATTTTTTTTAAGAGAAGCAGACTTATGTGCAGAATATTGATTTTTTTTTTCCTTCTCTGCTGATAGTTCAACTACGTAACACACACAGAACAAGATAGTGAGTCCAAGATCAGAGAAACCAAAAATTTTAATATTAAAAGTTCTACTGATTACTCTCTAAACAGGAAGCCCCCTCCATTTGTATTGCTTCTATGACTATAGCAGACAGTAAACTGGCAGTCAGCACAGTGCCACTTCCTTTCTTGGAGCCTTCTGGCAGAATAATTGCCACAACACATTCCATGACACACAGCAGGTTTGTATCTGCACCCTCCTAACTGCTCCTTTGCCATCAGCTCTCAAGATGTCCTAAGTCAGAAAAGAGAATGGTGCTAGAAAACTTGCCATATGGAGTGTATGGGACAGTGGTAATGGTATTTGAAATCCCTGCTGAAAAAGCAGTTCAAATCAGAGAGCAAGTTTTGCTTGCCTTCTCTTTTTTTTTTTTAATCATCTTTTTATGTCTAAGGTTCTTAGCTACCTACTTGATACTTATTTCAACAGCTTTTCAGACACATTGCTGTTCGAGTACAGGCTTTAGGCAACTCTCAAAAAAATTGTATCTTTACTGTGCTTAGCCTAAAGGTTAATCAGAAATCAGTCCCACAACAAATACAGCAAGATTATGAGTTTTGAGGTAGGTTGTTTAATCTGAACCAAATACCATCACGCTGAATCAAGACACAGAGTAAAGGAACAAAGTAAATGGGACCAGAAAAAAGAGTAGGCAGCTTCTCAAGTGAAGTGAAAACTGCATAGAAAAAGCCCAGTGCCATGGATGACACTGGAGAGCTATGAAAGCTTCCTTACCTGGACTGTAATTATACCTTCAGAGAAAAGAGTGATCTTTTGAAACTTAAATTTAAAAAAATTACTCTCGTCTATCTCACCTACAGGCAAGCAAGATTCAAAAGTGTTAACGGAGGTGAAAGACTTTTTACATGAAGATAATTGGGACAGGGAAATAAGAGTTACAACCAGATCAGTGATAGACCATCCTGAAGTGTAAATGGGCCTACAGTACATCTTATTAGGTTAACAAAGAAGTCACTTCTCAGCCACAACAAAATTTTTGGCAATTTCAAGACATACAAACTAGAGATATATTTAACAGAAAGAGTTATGCATACGTTTATAAAGATCAAATGTTCCATTACTGTTTGCAATTCACTTTCATTACAGGTGAAATATTATTTCCTTCTGTATTTCTTGTTCTTTCAATAGCTTAAGAGCATCACTTTCCTTCTTTTCTGTTGCTCAATTATTTTGTTATAGAATCAAAATACTATATATTTTCATTTATATACTAATTCAATACACATACATCAATATATAGGTAATGTAAGTAATATAGCATCCTGAACTGTTTACTTTGCTTGGTATTATAAGGCACACTTCCTTCAAATTCTGCTAAAGGAGAACAATATGATCTGTTGCAAAAAACATCCTTGCTCATGAGATATGCATTAGAGAAACACCAAGCACTCACTGCTTAACTATTATTGCCCATTATCTACCACTCTGACACTATTCAATAAACCTGTCTTACAAAGAGCGAGATCACGTGCACTAAGTATATACAAAAAGCATTATGTATATATTTAACAAATACATTTAACAAAGTAAGAATTCCATAAATTTTTAAAAGTTCCAAGCGTAAGAGAAGCATTGAAACACTCGTTACAGGCACTCATCTTTATGAGTCAACAAGTCCCCATTACAGAATTTGGAAACTAAGCAATTCAAATGCTGTACTGAAGCATCAGAAGCATGACAGACTCTAAAAAGACATATTTGATCATATGGAAAGAACCAAAAGACATCCAAAATTATTCATAGAGTGAATGCATAGTCTTGATGCTATCAAACAATTAAAAAACCTCTCTACCATCTAACAGTAAACACAAATATGAAATACCACCAGTGCTTTTAGGGAAAATGTCTGGGAACACCTATGTTTTCTATCAGGCTGAATTAACTATTTTAAGAACTTAGTATTTTACCAGCTTGTCTGAATGCACAGGAACTTCTTACACTTACATTATACTCCAAATCTAGATTAGGGAGCTAATTTAAATGGTTTCTATGCAGCTAAAGAGATAAGCTATTTCTAAAGAATATGGTTTTGGAAACTTAAATACCAGCAGAAGCATTTCATTGCTGGAAGCAACTTTATCCTGTAAAACAAGAGGTAATAGCTAAGACCAACCAGAACAGATAAAGAGAAAACTAAAGTTTTTTAAGTCCCCAACAGAACACGAAACTATTTCTAATATAAAACAGAACAATAGTATCTTTAAAAGGATCATCACATGCTGTGGTTCTCTCTTGTTTAGGTGTCCAAGGTTATTAAACTATTGGTCCTACAGTTAACCCATTCCTGAGAATGGCTGGTAACTGCAGAAGGGAGATTGCAGTTTTTAAAAACATAATAGCACGTCTCAGTATGGAACATGCATTCTTTCCTTTCTTAAAGCCACCTGGACATCAGACAGATCTGCTCATTTTCCCTTGTGATCTGTGAGCTTCTTTTCAAAAGAAGAGATGCAAACTTTTCCAGCTCACATTTAAGACTATCCCAGTCATCACGCAGAAGCAAAATGCATGTGAGCAGGAGAAATTTATCCTTCACAGCTTAGGTTTCACTGCCAGGGAAATCAGTGATGCCCTGAGCATTAATGGACTTGTCTCATTCCCACAGCATGGTTGGCCAGCATGTAGCTGCACTGGTTGCTAGGGAGCAGGGAGCTCATTACACAGCATCACCCGCACCCTGCACAAGGATGCTGGCACACGCTCCCCATCTGGGACACTGCGGACTGAGAACAGCACTGCAGTGCCTGCCAGCCTCCAGTCTCCCAGGGCAGAGCATGCCAATACAGCAGGTGCTAACTTTAGTACTACCTTCAAGGTTTGACATTCTAGTTTCCTAAGCCAGCCAGTGCAACACAGCACACAGAGGTCAGAATGGTCTCCACAGCTATTGGCATGGATACCCCTTACTTTTAAAGGTCAATTCTTGACAAAGATGTTCTTCCTGAAATTTTGGCAGACATATGGTTTCTGTCACTAGAGCAGTATGTGCCACTATTCTAAAATCCGTGCTAAGGGAGAACTTAGCAAAAATGGAAAAAGGCTGAAAAAAATTATTTTCAATCATTAAAGAAGCACAATATTAGGAAGCATTTAAAGAAGACAAACAGAAACCTTGCGATCTCCAGGCTGTACACAGTAGATCTCTAGAATGGATGTCAGCTGTGAACAATATCGGTCACTTCAAAGTCTAAACATGCAACCTTAATGCATTTTTTCAGCTATTTGTCTCATTAGCACTCCACAGATCTCTTCAAAATAAAAGAAAAAAAATCTGCCACAGAATAAAGAAGTAATCCCACTTCTACATGCCAGTAGATTTACTAACTAACAATCTATCTGCATTACAAAGAGATTGTAGCTAATGATTTTCCTGTACCTGTCACTTCAAATGCCATCCAAGAATCCTTAGTGCTGGTGAATTAACAAGCACATAAGGGAATACAGCTGTAGATATGCATAGATACCTATACATTCAAATCCTTAGGCAACTTCAAAATGCCTTTTTTTTTAACAATTGCATAAAGAAACATAAAAAGAAATGAGCTGGAAGGCAAATTGTGGTAATTCACTCATCAAAGGCATAGAACAACAGCTCTATTTAAGGGGGAGAGCTAAACACAAAAGTATCAATTTCCTCCCTTACCTGAATTTAAGAAAACCAAGACACAAAAATGGTCACCACTAATATATGAAATAATGTTTTGGATACTCATGTATCAGTTAAATGCATTTCAAAATAACTGCTTACTTTGAAGCAGAAATACATAACTAAGCCTTACCTGTCTCAACAATTTTTCAACAGCTGACATTACCATGAGCCCTCTCCACACAACCGGGGCAGTCTCTTCTATCAAGAAACCCATAGACATGCTGAAACAACAAACAATAACTTGAGCTTTACAGCACAATACCAAGTACATGTGAAAATAAGCTTGATTTAAATAAAAACATATGCTTACCATGCGATTCCATAGTTCTTAAGGGGCCTCATTAGATTTTCTAAAACAAAAGCAAACAATGGTTTTTTTTTTGGAGGGGAGATGGTTTTAGAGTATTTTGGGGTTTTTTTAAAGAAGTAAGCTTACACTTTTTTTTTTTTTTCTTTCAAGAGCAATTTAGATAGTTGCTTATTTAAACAGTTAACAGTTTTTTATTTATCTCTATTTAAACAGTTATTTTTCCTCCCCATCTCTTCATTAAATGTATGGATTTATCTATTCTGCCCAAGAATCTGACTCCACTTCTTAGGTTGTTACATTTTACTAATACAATTCATCTTCTGCCAGAATAACAATGTATTTGTCCATAATAAAATGTCACTTTGTGCTGCCAAAATCAATCTATTTTTATGAAATCCCTATGCTGAAAGGCATAAATTCCCTATCAGGAATCACTAAAAGCTGAGTCATTTATACTGGAAAAAAACCAAAATCATAAAACATGGTGGGATTTTAATTATTATTTTTTAATCTACTCTATTCACTAATTTCATGAATCAGAGGAGTATTCCCATTAACATATCCGAGATTTGGGGAATTTGTCTGCTTCTGTTAAATCTGCTACAGAAACCCCAGAGCAGAGATACCAAATAAAGCCATCCCTAAACTATACATTGTCAACAGCTTCAAGTAATTAGTCACAGATTTCTTCAGGTTGATAGAAATCTGCAAATCTTCTCAAATTTCTGTAGTAACAAAAGATGCTTATTTGAATATTGCAGATGCATTATCCTTGTCATACTCCTTACTTCTATACCCTCCAGTGTCAGGAATAAAAAGCAGGGAGGGAATACTGTAATTTTTCTGCCCACAAAAGGGCATGCAAGCAGAAAGCAAACAAAACAATAAAAAAGAAGGCATTAAAAAAAAAATCTCACAAAAGCCAAAACTCTTCCTTGTGGTTTCTACCATCTAAATCCACACCTTATCTCAAAATGGCACACACACTCACAAAAAACAACACATGGCATTTTATTTGGTTTAGTTGATAGCTTGGAAGAGCACGCACAGGCAGGGACTAGCAGAAAATAGGAAGAATACTTTAAACAATAGAAAATATACTATAATGTAGATTTTGACAGAAACCCTTGATGCACCTGAAGTAAAACACATAAAGAGAGTAAAATAAAAATGTAAGTAAAATAAAAACAGTGCACTCAGCTGAACTCCAAATTCAAATAAAATAACAACCAAGAGCATACAAATTAAACCGCTAAACTCTACAGATGAAAGCTTTCAAGCAATCAAATAAGTGAGCATTCAAACCATGTAATTTTGTAGAAATATGGTGGAGAATAAATTGGATGTTTTGGTTTACAAATCAAAAAGAACAAAACAGGAAGATAAACAAATCACTTGTATGACTATTGCATTCAGGAATGAGTTGGGAGCTATTACTGAAAAAGAGATTGGCTTGGACTGCTACACTGCACCAGTGCATACAGCTCTTCTTGACTTGTGCAGCTCTTCAGTGTTGAGTCAGGACTTACTTTGGTGGCATTATACTGTCTAACCACATTTCTAGCAATCACAGTCTTACTTCCCCTGCTGCAGTAAGACAGTTTAGTTATGAAAAGGCTGATGACATTGGAACTTTGGCCTAGAGCCTTCTCTAGGCACTGTTTTGGTGTCCTGGTAAACAAAATATACACCATAAGTTAAAATACTGTTAGAAGTATTGAGAGAAATTGCTACATGTTTACCTTCGAGAGTTGTTAAAAAAAGAAGAAATAGGAAAAATGTATTTGCAACAGTGTATACCACTTTTCCTTCATTTTTTTTATCACGAAATAGGGACAATTTTAAGACAAAACAAAATGAAAAGGGGAGGCCAAGCTTTGACTGCCGATCATGAGGCTCAGGAACTGGAGAGCAAGATGAATGGAAAAGATGCATTATTCTGGGAAGTTCACCAAAATACTAAGCCACTTCTCAGTTCAGTCCAACTGCGCTACACTATGTGAGTCAGACATCTCAACATGCATGGACAGTTTCTTCTGCGCAGAGACCAAGTACACAGGCTGAGCACACACACCTTCCAGCATCTCCCCTTCCGTTACAAAATAGGACAGTTCCTGTGAGCAGACAAACACTGACCTACAGAGCAGCAAAAGGGGCCTCTGTTTTTAAAAATATATGCATGGTTTATTTCTCAACAGCAGAATTTCATTTTCTTTGGTTAACAACAAGGACTATAAAATGCTCTGAGCAGCAAGATTTAATCAAATTTATACAATGCAGAGGAACAATTCACAACTTGCTGCATATTCTAGATCTAACGTTCTGCATATTTTCAAAGTAATACAAAATACTGCAGAGCTCCCCACTGTTTGCCTACTGCTAAAAATCATTCTTAAGACTAATCTCAAATCTAAATTGCTTCAGTGGGCATTGGTAATCACCCTTGTCTCATCAAAAGCAACAGGCCTTCCTTCTCTTTCACTGTGGGTCTCATGAAGATTTTCTAAAACATAACATGTAAAGAAGATTTAGCTTAATGAGACCTCAGTAGCATCTCTAATTCCCATTGCTTTTTAAGTATACTTTTCTGTTATCAGAAGCCTATCATACAGCTCCAAAACACAACAAAACAGATTTCTTAGAATCAGAACACACAGCAACAGCATACCATTTATGCCAAGAGATAAATAAAATAGCCTAGTTTGCAATTTTCTAGTAGGCTTGATGGCCCTAAGTAAAAGACTGCAGTGTTTTCTCTGAACATACAAAATCGGATCAGCAAGATCAGTGTAGCACCAATGACATGTCAGTAAATGCCTTTTCTGATAGAATACAAGTAGGGCACTAGAAAAGGCAGATGTGCCAATTTATGACAGCATTATAGCAGATTGCTGATTAAAAGAGTTCTGGGATTGGTCTGAAGATTGAATTGTTACTCACATGGGGAAAAGTAACATTGATGTAATGAAGATGGATGTTCATTACATCAATGAAAATGCATTTTTAAATTCGTTTTTACTAAGCTTTTTCTCCCCAAACAAATCATGCCTTGCAAACAGACTATCCTAACAAGGTAATTGAGTTACTCCACATTTTCTCCAAAAAAAATGACACAGATGTCCAACAATGGCCAGGGTCACAGGGTCAGTAGAGCACAGAATGTACAGAAGTACATTACATATATATATGTATATGGTTTTGGCTGGAGTATAGTTATATTTCTTCACAGTAACTTGCATGGTGACATGTTTTGGATTTGTGATGAACACAGTGTCAAAAACTGTTCTGCTTCTCACACCACCCCACCAGCAAGCAGGCAGGGAGTGCACAGGAAACTGGGAGGGCACACAGCCTGAACATATGACCACGACTGAGCAAAGGGATATCCCACACCATATGGCCTCATGCTCAGCATATAAAGCTGGGGAGACAAAAAAGAATCAGGAATACATTCAACATTATGGTTTCTGTCTTCCCAAATAACAGTTACACGCAATGGAGCCCAGGGTTAAGTCACAAGGAGTCATTCCAAGTCTTGGCTTACAAAAGCACAAGCAAAAGCTTACATTCTATCTTACCCCATCAAGTAAGTTAGAAGGTTATTCCACAAGATTGTCATGTTATGCTACACCTTAGAAAGCATTATACTGTTTATGAAAAGGAAAGGTAGCTTATAATTATTAAATAAAGTTTCTCTGAGTTTACAAGTATCTGAACTAAGGAGAAGAGGGAGGGAGGGGACATTGGACAGGAAGGGTAAAAAAATAGTTGGGCTTGACTTGTGTAACCATAGATGCCTCCTGCCACTCTGGATGCCTTAGGGAGCTGCAATTTGTACATGGCTAGCAGATTTGACAGAGGGCATAGGGAGAGACAATCTTCTGAAGGGGCAGCCAGAAGCCTGACACCAAACTCCAGGCATGTTTAAAGTAGTACTGGTTTCCTAAGCAAAGGCAAGTGAATTCCACCCACAGAATGGTAAAGAGGAAAGAAATGCCACTGTGGGGAGGGGAATGAATTTCAACAGGGCAAGGTACCTTGAAATAAAACAGTGACACCAATCTATGGAAGAGGGTAAAGGATGCTGTCATTATCAAAAGGTTAGTCAAAGTCATACATTTTAAATCCTTGCTTTAACTGTAATCATTGTTTTAACTACTTATGCCAGAAGCCTAGAATATTCTATGCCAAGTGACAGACTAATTGAGACTTCAGGCTTGATTTCACACTGTGCTGTAAGTTTATTTGCAGGATTGCCCCAGAAATACCACAATTTGTATTTTAAGCTTGAAGAGCTCCACACAAGAAGACTGTGATTGCCCATTACATCCTGCAGTAACAGTGTTATCTAACCACGAAGACATCCCAAACACTTAACTAAAGCAAACTAGTAATGAGATTTAAAGAGCATAATTCCATGCTCATCGTTCAATTTCAAGAAACATATCCATAATGAAATGCAACTTTCCCCAAGAGATTTGATTCTCATATTTAGAGGGTCTAGCAGTCCCATTACCTGAGAAGGTATTACACGTTTTTTACTCCCGGCAGACCGCAGAGGAAACAAAGCTCTGTAAAAGCTTTTTCATTAACAGAACAGTTTTGCATGTATGACTTTATCAGTCCTACATAAAAGCAACAGAACTGATTGCTTGCTGGAAGACTGTACTTCAAAAGCAAATCTGGCACAAGTAAAGAACACAGCAATTTAGAAGCATCTTTGTTACATTTTAAAGCAACACTAACTTGTTAGGCTTAAAATAGATTTAAAACACAGGACTAGTTTTGAGCATCACGCCATTACCTTCCATCACAAATTCCTTACAATTGCTAAAATAACCCATACTTTTAAATGCCCTCAGATCCCCAAGGAGCCAAAACTTTTATTTGTAGTGGATCAAAAGGTTTATTAGACTAATTTAGGCAGGTTCTTTTAGTTCATTATATCCACAAGGAATGTAATAGACTAACCCAACATTCAGTTTAAGGCATCTGTCCTGACACACAAAAACCTCTAGGAAAGCTCATGTCATTTGAAGC